CAACGTGAGCTAAACTGCGTAAACACCGATAATCGAAAACTTCTAGTCGACGGATATCTTCTATTCGCAAATGCAAGGTCTCACAACCATAAAGCAGGACTGAACGAACGCTAGCACAACATAAACAAGTTATATGTTTGCATGCTTATCGCAGGCATCTCATCTCACTCATCTTATTTTATTCAATGTTATTCAACTAATCGGTTCAGAGCTAATAATTCATTTTGGTGATTTTGTTTCACAGAGTACGACCGGTCCAAAAGTTTTAATTAAGTTTTCCATGTATAAATCATGTTTGTGACTATCACACACCATTGAATTCCGCTTCATAGCGTTCGATTCCCAATCAGACTAGCTTAGTGAAAAGCCAAAGAGTACCTGGTGAATTATCTGCCAGCACTTTGAATGTCAAGAGAAATTTTAAAAAAATTAATGATAAAGTAAAAAAAAGCAAGTACCGTATCCTGGGAGATTTTTCTTCGAAGATGTGCGCAGTGAAGTCATTTTCCGAGGTAAGAGAAAAACACTGGTCAGAGTCCCGAATGCTTCGGATATTGCAAGCATCTAGGAGATACCTCCAAGTGGGATCGAACAGAACTCGGCTCCAGAGTAGTATTGTAACAATTAGCGACGACACGCGCATGCATTTGATGAAAACTGTCTCTTCGTTTGTGAATGACCTAAACAGTGGTCATTTTCACAACGGATTTGAATAATAGAGAACCCGGGTTCGGTAATGATTACCGGCAACCGAAGCCTTGAATATTGGCATTATTCGAGATCTCTGGGCCTTTTTTGAACCGGGCGCGGATGAATTTGTAACAGACTACCTCAGCTGCTCGGCGTTAAGTATGATGCGATACGGAATGACGGGAAACATCTCAATCAAATTTGAAAGCTCTAAATTTATCGCCTCAGAAGAAATAAACCGACCTGTTCGTCCTCTAAATTAGGATCAGCTGAGGTACGTCTTCTTCTGTAGGGTTGTAATGACGGTCGCGTAAAGGTCTGTTGTTCTTAAGCCATATAAATCATGTGAAACACGTGATAAATAAAGCACTCGAACTAGGTTTGTGGAAAGTAATCACACCGTTGGAATAGCTTGAATATTCCCGATTCGCGTGTTCCAGAGTATCTCCGCCAAATTATAACAACTGGATCAACACTTCGACTAGCGCACACGCAAACACGTACAAATTATGATTGTCAAGAAAATTGGCTTCAAATTAAATGAAAACGAGAATATGAGCGAGAACATAGACCACCAAGCCAAAAAGTAAACGGGAAAATCCTATACAAGAGGGTAGATATTTTAGGGTGGGGGAGTTCTAGAGTGGAAAGCTGATTCATTACCCGTCTGAGGTCGGATACACGGCCCATTGACCGGCTGCCCCAATCCTGGGATCACAATGAATCACAATGACCTGTCCAACTTGATCCCTATGGAGGTGGATCAAATCCGGATCCATTTGTGGGTCGTATGTCCACAACAAATGTACCCCCGATTGTGTGGATAAGTCATGACGATCCCTGGGGCTCAAACGGAACATCAACAGACGTGAACTCGTGTCTATCAGAAGAGAACAAGCGACTGCGTTGTTGGTGGGACCCAGGTCCGTGCAATCTGTGAGAACAGACTAGAGAAAAAAATACGACAGGGAGAATGACGTTTTGCAAGCCGTCAAACTTTATTTTTAAAGGAATAGCCATCGAAGAGACGCGTTGATTACACTATATATGCGGGAAACTTAACGCAACTACAGTACTGGCCGATTGTGATGCACTGAAACACTTTCTTTATGATCAAATGGAGTTTCATCATATTTATCAGTTGTATTAATGCTTGAGGTATGGACAATAATTTATATTTTGTCTACTTCGATCTACGTAGTTTCTAGTTTGCATAAGTGTCAATAAAACATGTCTGACCTTGAGTGCCAAGATTAAATGCACTGAATATGAAAACCACAAACTTTATTAAGTATGACAACGCAATATTTTCTAATAGGAATGACTCAAGAATCATCTCAAATTAATTCCATAAACTCTCGCCATCTCGGTTATTTGTTATGAGGCATCAGTAATTTCGAAAATGTTTTCAGAATTTCATGAAAAAAAATCGTCTGGAAAAGTTATCGTTTCTCAGGATAACGCTCCGTGTCATGTTTCTCGAGAATTTAGTAAATTTATTTAGGCAGTCTGGTTCTCTTATTATTTGCTTTTAGACTTCAGAAACGATGCGTGACTCTAAGGTCCTGTTCATGGAACTTCCCCTTAAGGGACCGAATCTTAATTGGATTGAAAATCTGTTTTCTGTTTTGAAGAGAGAGGTCAATGTGCTACCTATACATTGGAGGCAACAGTGCGACAGGTAATGAAGCACAGAATAGAAAATGACTTCATAACAAAGCTGGTGGATTCGATGCCGAAGAGACTCGAAGAAGTTCTAAAGAACAAAGGCAGACCAATCGACTGTTAGTGTATATAAACCTCACATTTTAATTATTATGAATGTTAATTTGTTGTAAATAAAAATTGTTCCATTCTCTTTAGTTACCTCTTAACTCATCATGGTCTTGGTCTACCATTATTAACGAAATGGGAGTAGCCGCTACATTTTGAATCATTCCATCTGTTGAGTATAAACGAATCACATAAAGACTCGCCAGGGCTTGTTTATTATTATTTGGAAAAAAATTACTTCAGTATAAATGCTGGTGCTTATACGAACCGACAAGTGTTTCACAGTGTTTCAGTTTTGATTACACCTGTAGTGAGAATGAATATGGATAAAATAATTAATAAATGATAATAATCGTACAGCGAAATACAGGGAAGCGAACTTCACTGATCGCTGCCAAACTCGCAACTCATATGCATTGGGGTTTGATGAACCCTGGTGTCCAGCTACCAAGCAGGAGAACGATTAGGGTTCACAACTAAAGGCTTTAGTTCTGACAGGTACCTAGAAGCAAGGCAGCAAGTGAAGCGAAATGAAGGCTCAATTCCATGGATCAATTACTCCTCTACCATTTTTACCGACTGAAACGCAAATTCTAGTCGAATCTCCAAACTGGAGGATCAGGAGACTACTTCGTCCCACCTCTACCCTTCGACCTTCCAGGCATAATTAGATCTTCGGCTTGACAAAAGTCATCCTGTGTAGCTCGTTGGGTCAGAGAGGTGCACAAGCCATCACACCAAGTCAAGGTACAGTCTCGTCGTGCTGCACCGATGGCCTTGATGGCCACGTCATCATCATCATAATCACCATTTTACAGCGTAATACAGTGAAGCGAACTTCACTGATCGCTGCCAAACCCATATTGCGTACAAGATAAGTGAGAATGTGTAAGGAGGACAGAGATTGAGCCTATTTTTAGGGAAGGGAAAGAAAGCGAATTTCTATGGTCAACACAGAGTACACAGGCCAACTGTGCATACATACAATTTCAAGCGTTCTGGTCTGACTAGAAGGGACAGCATGATCGCCATGATCACCATTACCGTCGGTTCGCAGCCATGTGTTCAACCATGCGATTTCGTAGTATTTTGAACCCCATCCCGGAAGACGGAATGTGTGTGTGTGTGTGTGTGTGTGTGCATTTCTTTATGTCTCGTCTCCACGTCATCTGCTGGCCCCCACGTGACTTTTTCCAGCCTGCAACAGCCACTGCGAATAAGGCGCGCTGCGGTAGGCGACAGTCGGACATACGCAAGACGTGCCGTAACCAACGGCACTGAATTCGATGCGATAAGGAGTTTTTGTTCGATGCATTCCCGAATACCCAACGACTTACTTCTAAGTTACTAACCCGCTCACTCCGTCCCACTTGGGCCAGACTATGTAAGCACTGATTGTCGAAAACCACTAGGCGACGGATGTCTTCTACCCGCAATTTCAAGGTCTCACAACCGTAAAGCAGAACTCATCGTACGGTGGCGCAGTATGTGATTTTTCGACTTAAGTGAAACGTCACATCGTCGCAAAAGGTGTTTTAGTCCTGCGTACGCTGCTCGTGCCTTGGAAATGCGGACGGGTATCTCCTTTGATGTGCTACCGTCGTTGGTCACGCAGCTACCCAAGTACGAGAAGCAATCAACTTCAACTAATTCCTCACCGTTTAGTTTTTAGAACACAACTCGATGACACCCAGTCTTGTAGCATCACTTTGCACTTTGAGGGTGCAAAGCACATGCCGAAAGGAACGACAGAACTTGCAAATCTGGCAAGTGCTCTTTGTGCATCCTGTATACATTCGAACAACCAAACGATCTCGTCAGCGTACTCCAAATCACACAGCTTTTCTCCAGCTGCCCATTCAATACCTACATTTTACAGACCACTTAGTGCGTTCTCCAGCATTTCGTCTATGACGAAATTGAACAGGAATGGCGAAAGAGGGCACCCTTGACGAACACCGCTCCTAGTTACGAACGATCTACTCAGCTCGACGTAGACCCTTAGGCTACCAGAAGTAGGTGAGTAGGGTGGACTCATTATGTTCACATACTTCTGCGGCATTCTTTAGCGAAGGAGCGAACCTACAAGGGAGTCACGATCACCTGAGTCGAAGGCTCCTTTTAGGTCAAGGAAAACGACAACCGTTGGTCGACGGTGCGCATGGCGTAGCTCGAGGACGCAGGGTGAGGATTTGATCGATACAACCGCGACCTGGTCGGAATCCTGCTTGTTGTTCGCGGATATTTGTCTCCCACAACGGTGTCAGGCGTCGAAGTATGATGGAGGCTAGTAACTTGGTAACGAATGGGATCAAAGTTATTCCAGTTGTTGCGAGATTCCTTCTTAAAAATTGAAACGATCAGTGATTAGCTCCAGGATGATGGAGTGCGCTCGTGTGACCAGATGTCATGCATTATATCACTAATGGCGTCTCTAAACTACAGAGCAAATCCGGTTCGGCTAATGAAACAAGTAATCCACTTTTCCACCTAACCTAGCCAGATGACCCAGATTAACAGATGCTAAATTCAGGTGAGGACTATAAGAGAGCTGACTGGATGGGACAAAAAACTTACCGACTGAGCAAAGGAAGTCTGTGACCCCGAACTGGAATACCAACTGTGACGATTTCCGATAACCGGGTCGTTCAGTTGCCCCAGAGGAAGTGACACAGCGTGCAAACGACCGGAAAAGCTTGGTACCAACACTTTGAATCGCGGTGTCCAAGAGAAACTGGGTGGAAAACTATCCGAATGGGACTGAGAAGAGGCATCGAACGGCATTCTTGAGGCGAATGAACTAGACAGCATCGTTGGAGTGGCCAACAAGTATGGTGGTTTCGCGTCGTGTAACTAAAAATTAAAAATTAGATAAACCCCAGAATAAACTCCATTTAAAAATATTTTATCTTTGTCGTTGTAAAAGTATTCACAGCGTACAGGAAAACAGATACGAACCACGAGAAACCACTGCATGATTATGAAAACCGATAGTCTGTATGCTGGAAATTGCAGCACACCATAAAATCCCGCACAATGGTTGGACAGTTTCGAGATTGATCCCGATGGCGTAAACATGCTGACTAAAGTCAAACGCACACATTAATCCAATAATATGAGCAACCAAGTGTCAACATATGTAACACACTGTTTGCGCCAATATAACCGAGTGTCATCGTCGACCAATATGCCTGATGCATGAAAGTTTGACGAACAGGAAATGGGCTTGAATAAGTGTACAGTTTACTTGTGTTTGGTTATAGATATTCCTGTTCATGCCATATATTCTGAGCACTGTTGGCTTGTTTCATCCGTTCAGGCCTAAAGGTCAAGGTCATCCGTTCTCGCTGACCAATAGCAGGCGTGTTATTATTCGGTCAACTTCTAATCACATATCAAATGACAGATTTTCTTGGCCATTGGGACGTAGGGTAAATCTTAAATGTTTCAATATGACTCGCTTGAACGGAGCACCATTGAAACAATGCCGCTGAAACTAGGGGTTCGGATATTTTCGTTTATCTCTAATCTCCCGCTGGTTACGAAAAGTGAAATGCGATCAAGAATCGGCCGCAAACTTTTTACTTTTGTTTTTACTCCTGTGACTAAATCGGCCGGATAGGTAGACATTGCAAATCCTCGCCGGTGACCGCATCAGCTTGGACAGGGAGCGGGCATAGAATCTAACGGGACTGTGCCCATTCGGGAAGTCCTTGTACTTACATGAACCACTGCAGTTGGTAGCATCAGACGAAGATGAACAATTTTTCTCCCTATCTCTTCGTTGGCCTTTGTTTCCTTCCATCTTGTTCAAAGTATACGTTATAAGCAACAAGGGATCAACATCTCTAATCAACTGGTTTCCTTGTCTCGTTGAGCCTAAGTTCCACACCCGAGGTGAGTATCGGTTGAGAAGTAGCACAGAACACGTGAATCGATTCAAGGTTGGTTTCATTGTGGGTCCAGAACATGCCTATAGCCGGAGGAACGTTGTGCTATGCTGCTCTTCGTCTTTATTTCATGCTTCAATTGGTCATTTGAGAACAAAATCGAACCGCGCTATTTGAAGGACGATCTGTTCTCTTTTTATTGGTGGTTGACAAACAATTACTGCACATCAGTCACTGAGAGTCGCGAAGGCTTTGGTTTGCCCTATGCGAACTTCAGGATTGATGGTGGTCGCGCAGCGATGGATTCAGTCGGGAAGTGATTAAAGCACAGAAGAAAAATCCTCTTCCACGAGCTAAATATGACACCTTTCTTTTTATAGAGGTTATCGTACCGCAACTTAAGCGGCACAGTTTGAACACAGTTTGAGAGAGAGGGAGATTGGAGTTCCAGATGCGATTGTTGGTGTTGATGTGTTCGTTGCACTGATGAGGTTGCCCGACTACGAAACGGCTACAAACAACACTTCCAGTTCGGAGAAAATACCAACAAAATACAAACAATTTTCTTGAGGATTCGAAACCAGGTTCTTTGGTTATTCAAATTCTGACCCACAAGGCGGTGAGGTGATGTGTGAAAAGTGCAATTCCGTTTAATGGCACACATCCATGTGGACCTGCTGTCCAGTGATGGAAACCGGCAACCTAATCCCCGGGACTTAAAATGGTGAACTACATAATGCCCCACTAGGTTAGGAGTGGTTATGATCGAGGCTCATAGTTTGGTTAGACATATCTTAGCCAATTAGGTTGCTCTATAGACGTTCTGATCAGTCAACACCCTTCATTACTGTCAGTATATGTGTGTGTGCAAACACCTGTAAGAATAAACTACATACAATCCTCTCTCTCCAAACTTTTGCAGCAGTAGCAAGTAACAAACAACAGAGCAGAAGCATCTTGCCCTCTTACTGGTACCGCGGAAACAGAAGATGCAATTCACGAACACGGATTAGGCAGGGTTCGGACAGTTGCACACAAAAGTAATCTCAGTGAGAGTTTCTCGGGGAAAATATCCTCTTTTTCTTTCTCCTCCTCACCTTTCCGGCTTCAAGTAGTTGAATGCTGAACCCTCGAATCGAGCCGGCGGGAGATCCCCACAAATGAGCCATGAGAAGAAGTCGACGTGGAACACCAACAAGCGCGGTTAAGATCACATCCAGATCGGTATTTGATTCGCTGGACACAAAGTTCACCGGAACAATAAAGACATCTGCATCGTGTGAATCAGTCAGTGCACGTTCCACGGCAACCAGTGGAACGAGCGGAGTGGCATAGACATGTGGAGCGAGGCGGATACCCTGGTTGATAAAGGGCAAAAACGGTGAAATCAACAATAAAACAGCTACAGAGGTTAAATGTGAGAGGTCTTAGAGTAACTGAAAACAAAGTAGGAGCAACCTCAAATCCCTCTCCCCCTCCCCCGACGCACCTTTCCTTGGAAGCAACTAGCTGAATTACTTTGCTTCACGAATAGTAAAGCTGACCAGTATTACACGTGACGCGCTTTTTTGCAAAGTAACCCCAATGTTTTATATTTTCGAAGTGTTGCATTAGCGTGATACTACCCTGTGAGAGATTAACCCATCTCTGCACTAAGCGATTATGGGATTGGTCATTTCTCGTCTTAGAATACACTTGAACTTCGTGCAACTAGAACAGCCATACCGGGTGATCAGCACTGTGGCACTCGAGATAGATTCAGAACCAACCCTCTGAACATAGATTTCTGCCTACTGGATATGAGAACCTGTGCATTGATAGGGCTTTTATTTACCCGGATTACCAAATGTTGTATCTTGAGCGACTTTAGGTGCCAGAGTTGGGTGTGACAGCTGCATGGTACATGAGGACTGAGGAACAGGTGTACTGCAAAGAGCTGGTAAAGTTGTCATTTCTTATTATTGGGTTATGCGAAACAGTGCCAATTTTTAACTGAATGAAAGCATCACAATCGTGAATCTGTTTCCCAAGAAAGAAAATCTAAAACAGCCTAGTTAAAGAAAAACTAAGCTATATTTCCTCCTTTATTATTCTCAGTAGTCTATGCGTGAAACCACTTCTGAATCTGGGCAATAGTACACACAGGATCGTATGTCCCACCGAGGCCAGGATGTATTGTACTGTATTTTTATAAACTTTTTCGTTGACAGATGTCCGCGTCTCGGTCAAAAATTTCACATCATCATCTGAACGAAAAAAAAACCTCCAAGGTTGCTCAGAAATTCAAAAGAAACCCGTCGNCTGAGGAGTGCTTCAGCCATTCCTTGTTGTGGACATTGAAATCTCCGACATTGATGATTTGGCTGTTAGATTCTGCCGACATTAGTGTATCATTGTTGGAAAACAGAATATCAAAAATAGAATAATCGCTGCTGCTCGGGGAGCGGTAAATAGCACAAAAATAGTGGTTGAAAGAAAAGAATCGAAGTTTCAG